CCCTTCCTCCCTACATCGCCTATGAATCATCAGGAAAAAACCAAACAGGGTGATTCTGGATGCAAATTTTCTTGAATGACTGGGCTATTTATCGTAAATAATATTATTTATACACGGTAGAACCAATCTCCCTGTCTGATGTTGTAATACTTTTCACCTTTTGCCCCTTGCTGTCTTTTTGGTCATGCTGGTGATTACAATTTTTCTTTTCTTGCTCTTTAAATCATTGCTTCTTATATTTTACCCACAATCCTTATTCTTGCCTATCAAAGCTTTCTGCAACGAGAACAACTAGATATCAGGACCTATCAAGTGATCCCGAAGTCAAAAGCATGGTTTACGTTCCTCGACAGGTATGCATTCTACAATCGATTCGTAGTATTTTTATTCATTTATTAATTTATTTATCTAGTCATTTACTTATTTATTTTTTATTTGTTTGTCTCCGCTCGACGAGTATAGATTAACAAGAAGATTTGATCATAAAAGTTTCTAGCAACCTAAGGCTGTCCTGCTTGCGTTGTTATTACTGTTCTTGAAATTTTGTGGTTTCTTCTTACAGTTTGTCATGATCACTGAACGAGTTTCATTTTATGCTTCTCTTCTCCAGGTCTGTTCATTTCATGGGTTACGCTTCAACTATTCGCAGTCGTCTTCGGAAGTTGATTTGGTTGGACTAGTGATCTTTTGCAGTCCTCTGTCGTCCTTCTCTAGTTCAAGGTAGTGTCGAAATATGTTTCAACTCTCGAAGTGATGAGCAGCTTTTGTATATAGATATTCGTCAACCTCTCCTGAGAAAGAAACGTCATACTTTCTTTTTTCTGCCGATTATCGTGTAAAAGAAGACATGCAACACTGTTGAACACTGTTCTCATACCTATTCCGTATCTCTGTGAGAATACGTTCTACTAGAACTCTATTGATTTTTTTACAACTATTCATTGTATTATTTGCCACTAGTTCCAATGTACAGACTGTCTATTTATCTGACGAAGAGAGCAACATAGTAGCAATCAAGTTTTGGGAAGGACTAAAGGTTTTGATAAATTCTTGTTTTTTCGGTTTTGTTGCACTGGTTGGTGGTTTTTATATATATGTATGTATAGTTTTAACTTCACCCTCCAAGCTCTTTTTTTTCCTTCCAAGTTTTTGAAGAGTTCTGTTCAAATTCCGAATGAAAACGTTTCTATATTGGCGGTGAACAACGCAGGAAATCCGAAACGTCTTTACATCCAATTCAGTTGCATGTAATCCTAACCTCTTGCAAATTGTTACTCGCGTTTTCACACATATGTCGCAATAAGCAGTTGAAATGATTACAATCTCGACTAAAATTATCTGTTATCTCGATGTAATATTTGTCCTCTTTGATAAATGCAGGCGGTTGCTGTAGATGATCTTATCAAAGCTGGTAACTTCATATGTTGCAGTAACCTGACAGTCCGCCCAGACGACCGCGCCCAGTGCCCGTCATTAACCTTCTGGGAACTGTCAAACGTTTCCCTGAAGCCTCGTGAACCACACCTGCGGGTTGCCCTACATACCTTACAGCAAAGTATACAAGTAGGTGCATGCAAATGTGTAGAAACGCGGTAGTCCGGGAATAAGACACTTTGAGCCCGTTATGTAAACAAAGTGTAGTCGTTGTTTGTAAGTGTAAAGAACCGGCCCTTTAAGTCTGTTATCATGATGTCGTATTCTGTCAAGAGTGAACACAGCTTGGCCTGAGTTGCTCCACTATTAGAAAAGGGCATTGTTTCTCTCTTTCTTTTTCAGTTCTTTTTTGTTACTGCATAAGCCAATTTCTTTGTCTCCCACTCATCAGTTTCTATATAAAGGCTCAGTTGTTTGCATTATAGTTGGAATTCTAGTTTATTCCCCGAGCTACTTCCATTAGAATTTACACATATCCAATGATGTTATATCAATATTCCGGCTTGGTATTCACTTCCGTGTTCGTTATGCAAAATGTCACTTTCAGTAATCCGACCTAATAACTTCATGAACGCTCAAAAGTTATTTCCCTGGTAGCAGCTCGAGGAAATGATGAGTTAGGAATATCAGAATTCTCAATCAGTAATGTTACATTGGGGCATGAGTTTCTTTTTGTTGGATTGTTTTCAGGATTTGCGCCTATTTATGAGCGAGATTCAAGAGAAGCTTAATTTCATTTTGCATCCAAATAAAGCATCGTTACCAGAGAATCTAAAGGTCGACGCGATCCGTGTCCATCGTCAATCGTTAGACATTACCTCCAGCCTCTGTCAAAATAATGGTTTCATTTCTTCTAAAGCAAAAGAAGTATTACACTCCTCTGGGAAGGTGGGTATGAAAACGAGGAAAATCAAAACAGCTTCTGAACTTTCTTTTTCCTCTTTATCGAATCGATTAAGGCTTTGCATTTCATGGCGACAGGCTCGTTTTCTTCGTGTCGCTGACGGATCAAGGTGTAGCACCCATTACAGTTTTCATCTTGTACCTTAGCTCAGCCCGTAATACCAATAGAATATTGCGGTTTTCATTTTGCTAATTTATTCGCTTCGAATTATTTTCTTTTTCATGACGAGCGAATGTAACGCATCAAGAAAATCAAGCCAACGTGATCTTGATGAAAATTCAGTCTCTCTTCTTAAAGCCCATTACTAAGAGATTTTTCCAACACACTGTTTACGTATTTTCTTTCAGGAAATTGGCCCAAACTTACTCGCATCACCATCTTCATGTGCTGATGTTAAAGTTTCGCACCAATCAGATGACCCCAGCTTGGAGACTCCCGATCCAGCCACGCATAAAGTCAATTCCCGCGCAAAGCGTACACGTTCCAAACGGAAGTTATTAGAGAGTATCCCAGAACCTCCGCCTTTATCGCCGCTACCCAGTCTCATTCCGGCTAGTGTCAGAAGAGAATTCAAAAAGCCCCGGCGAGCTGAAAACCCAGGAAATATCCACAGTAAACAGTGAAGACTATGCGGGAACTACAGAATATTGTACACCGATTAAGGAACGCGCGCATCAAGTTCACCGTCTGTTCATGTTAGACTCACCGAACGGTCCCTGCCTTATTTAACAAGGCAGTTACCATCAGTTAGACCTGGCGGGCCACGCCGGTCCATTCTTAACCCTTAAATTCCAAGAATGGATTAATATTTAACTTCTTGCAATTCTAATATGTCATCTTGCAAACAGGTTTTAAGAAAAGATAAGTTTTTCGGCTTGAGGTTGTTTTCTTGATATTCTACAGGAAAGCTATGGCAGTTAGTAAGTGCAATTTTTATGCGGATCTTGGAAGTCAAAGAGTTAAAGACAATCCTGCCCTTTCATCAGTGAGTACTTTTCGGCCAGGTCGGGAAACCTTAGATTACCTTGACAACGTTATGATGGATTTTTTTCTTAATTCACTTTAAAAAAGGGTCCATTAAGCGTTGAATTAACCAGACTGTCGGTCAATGTAGTAAGTGTCCCTTGTTATTACTGCGCTGAAACAGAAATCAGTTCCACTTGTGTTTCGAGATAATGGTTAATTTTTACGGTATTTCATTATCATGTTGGGTTACTTTATTTTAATTGACCTGGTGTGTGTACAATGCATTTTATCCGAGATTTCATATGTGAAACAGTGCGTCATCAAACCTGGTATATAAACAGGTCAGCCAATCGGCTGTTACTGTAACCTTAAGATTTGGTCCCCAGCTAAGTCTGGTAAGACATTCCGTACAAAATCTAATAATTTCAAAGATGATAAAAATTCATTTGGACGGCCCTCTCGCGCGTGAGAATTAATGGCGAGGTAAGCCGTCAACAGTATCACTTAAATTATTCGGCGAAAAACTTGCTTTCAGTTCTAAGAAGTTAATTTTCATCTTTATAACTAATTCCACTGGTTTTCATATTCCCAATGTGAGTCTTTGATTGAAAGGTTTATAAATTTTACATGTGTACGTTGTCTTCATTTTAGACGCTAAAGGGCGATGTGTTTTTGTTAAGAACAAGAAATTTTGATTATCGTTGGTTTCAACAAACGGATAAGTTGTGTAAAAGATAAATAGTAAAAGTTACATTAGCATGGTTTTATTACGGTAACGATAATGGTTAAAAGTAATCTTAAGTTTTTGAAAAATGATACTTTAAAAAATACATAATTTACCACTGTTTTGTGAAACTGCTTCCTGTAATGTACTTCCTAGTCTCCTTCGCAGCTTCTTCGACGCCGTCCTTAGACTCGTCACGCAACGCTCTTCTTGCGTGACGAGTCTAAGAACGGTTGCGAAGGGGACTAGGTTCTTCCATGTCAGAACAAGTTGTTCAGTTTTTATTGAAAAAAGCTTTCGGTATAAGATATTGTTTAACGACATGATCGATTTGTCTTCTATGATTTATTTATGGTTGTATTTGCTATGAAGTATTGGAATAAAGGTGAAGGACTTTTGGTGGATATTACCTATTTCTTAGACCTCTTGTACGTAGCAGGTATGTTACTCCACGGTTATAAGGTAGACTATCAAGCTGCTTTCTAGTGTCCTCTACAGCCGCTCTTTGGAAAGTCACGCAAAACTTTACACGGATAACGTGGAGAGCGTTGTGTGACATCGTTGGGAACAGCTGCGCAGAAGACCAGCTTAGTGAAGGACTGGTGCGCAGTGTAGCTAATTTACATATTAATATGGCGACTAAATATTGACGTTTTCCTGATGGTTTGGTCGATCGTATTGTACCTAATATTTGCATTTTGATTAAAGGCTTTCCTTTCGCAGAAAGGATGATCTGTAAGAACGGCGTTCCAGTGCGAAATGCACCAAACCTTCACGAGGCTGGTAGGTTCAGACAAAACAGAGATCACTTGAGTTTATTTATAGGGGTTCTGCGACAAATGTAAACCGAAGTTTAGAGGTTATTTTTTTTTGCAATTCCGTCGTCTGAAATGAAGGACATTTTCATGAAGTCGCGGACTTTGTTTCACAATGAACACTACCGTCCTACTTTTTGAACTGTGTTTTTTAGTTTGATCATGACTCTGGTCAAAGATCAAACAGACCCTTCCGCAGATCAGTGTTCGTAGACAATAACTGTTTTATAAGTACAACAATTTTGCTTCCTTTTAGTTCATCTTCGATTAAGCTTCGAATTTAATTAGCTGAAATAATTTTCTGCTTACATCGTGGTTCCTCTGTCTGAGGTCTAGTGAAAATCTCAACGAATGGGATTTCTTCACGAAATCTGGTTGACCTTTTCAATTTTGAAGTTTGTACTAGATATGAAATATATTATAGTATTTTTCATTCTTTTCTTGGATAGTAAGCTTATGATTCTGAACTTCTTTTTTCAGCGTTCTCAGGTGACACACGAGAGGCGTCCCAAGCCCTTGATAATGGACAGGTTTGAAATTTACAATTTAAACTTTGGTGGTTTAAACACCATTGAATTACTAATAAATACGCGCGATCAGAACATAACACTATTTCATGGAAGTGGGTATAAAATAGTTAATTGCGAAGTAATGAAGGAAATTGAGTCATTACTTGAACATTAGAAATAGCATGAATAAGTCATAAAATCCATAATAAGAAAAATTATTAATTTAAGGAGAATTAAGTGCTAGTACATATGTACGGTACATCCAAGGAGTTGAAGTTATTGGTCGACTGAGGTGTTGGGTATTTTTGGAGGGGAAAAATACAGAAAAATCTTCTGAGAAAGGAAGAGAAACAACGAATGGAAAATTCATTATCCAAGTTATCATCCAACACTCACCATAGTTAGCTCCTAGGTCTTGTTATTTCTCAAATGTCTCAGCCATTAAAAGTTGTTTCTTATTAGCTGCGTCAATTTCATCGGAGGTTAGGGTGTCCTCTAAATATACAGCTGTAGTTCTTGTGGAAGTAGTTTTAGAAATAGATTTTATACTATGACTGGGGTTCTTTAAAGTTAGAGGGGCTTTGAACAAAGGAAACCTCAGTAGTAGCTTGGTTATAGCAGTTATAGCAGTTTAGCTTGGTATCCTCCCTGTGCTCAATAAATATAAATACCATTACCATCGTATTTCGTCTTATGGACTTTTAAGTGGGAAACGCTATTTCTGAAGAAACAGAAGAGGGCTTAATTTCATAATTTACAGGGAATGAAACATTTTTTAAGGTTTTCATTTTAAACCAGTGCCATGGGAAGATACTTTAAATTAAAATTCTTGGAATTAAGGATTTAAATTAACTCAGATTCATGTTCATCCCCCTTCAAAATTGTTCAATTATGACAAAGGAGGCTGGAATTAAGGAGTAAAGGGGATAAGTTTCTAAAGAAACTGCAGTGCTGCATCAGTGGAGGAATTTAACCCTTTAATTCCCAAGATCTGATTGTTAATTCTCCCCTGTAGCTTCTACACATTTCCTTGTAAATTAGTTTATGAGAACTTGGTGCTAGATCAAGATAGCAGCTTCTACCTGATAAATTTGAATATTCTCATTATCTGATTGCTGAAGAATGTATGGATATTGTAGGGAGAAGTTTTATGTTAATCACTTCTGGGGGCTAAAGGGTTAACTAGGTAAGTTGGTAATATCAATGAAGTTGATAAGGTAGATAAGTCACTATTAAGAGTTTCAAAGCCGATGTTTCAAGCATTAGCCCTTCATTAGAGCAACTGAAATTAATGTTTGGCAGGGCTATTTAAGACCATGTGTTTATTTGTTCTGTCTGAACTTGAATTTTATTGCTGTATGGTAAATTGTAACATTTATTTCAGAGTCCAAAAGAGTTTGATGAATCTGGCTCCACAGCAGTACATAAGGCTGCTGCAAATGGACATCTGGAAGTTCTTAAACTGCTAATTCAACATGGTGGAGATATTGAATTGCCTGACATATCTGGTTGCATGCCACTACATGTCGCGGCAAGAAGTGGCCATCTGACCTGTGTGAAGTACTTAGTTTTGCAAGGGGCAGACTTCAGATTGAAATCAAAGAAAGGAAACACAGCAATGGCTATGGCCAAAGCCAACAGTCAGCAGAAAGTTGCAGAGTATTTGTCAAACTGTGGTAAGATAATCCTCCCAGTAAATTGAAATATTCTTGGAAGGTTGTGAATTGTTCTGACCCCTTTACCATTTTTCTAGATTGCAAAGTTCCAACTTTGTTTTGTACATACATGTACACTACACTGTAGGGGAAAGATTTGCCTTTGGTACCTGCCCCCCCCCCCCCCCCCCCCCCCCTTATGCAACTGTTTCCCTAAACATTTAATTTTCCTCAATCTTCAATGTGATTATGGAAGGATCAAAACAGTCTTGGAAGCTTGTTTTGTTCTGACCCTGTCACCACTTTTCTAGATTTCAAAGTTCCAATTTTGTTTTGTACATGTACTATCCTGTTGGGAAAAATTCCCTCCTCTACAACTGTTTTTCTAAACATTTCATTCTTCGCAATCGTCTATTTAATTATTTTATTTATATACTATTTCATTTACCTTTCTTTAAGTGGTTTTAATTTCAATTTTTTATTTATTTTATTTTTTTGTGTGTTTTTGGCCAATTAGAGTAACTATGTTAAAATGAGAGATTCCTTGTGAAATGTTATTCACTACACAAAATCCAGAGTAAGCAATTGCTATCCACTATACTTAACCAATCCACTCCACAGACCTCATTTGTAATTCTCCCTTCTCTCTGCTGTACAATTCTCATTGTGATTGTTACAAGAATTTGGTGATGGATCAACTAATAATCCCCAATTGACATTTCTCTTTATTCTCATCACTTGTCTGCTTGATATTCTATTGATGTTGTAAGGAGAAATTCTTTCTTGGCCACTTATGGAAGTTTAAGGGTCAATAACAAACATTCTTGCTGCATGACCATCAATAGCTGTACCTCTCTTATTGGTCAAATGGAGTAATGTTCTTCACATCAGTAGCCATTATTGTAGCATTTATGATAAAATTATGACTGTCTGTTTCTTTCATTTTGACAGACAGGGAAAAGTTTGCTTGGGAGGTTGTATAAGAATCCAAGTAGTCGCGGACTTAATGCTGTCTGGATGTAACATAATATGTATTTAATAATCTGTGTTTAACAAAGTAACAGGAAATATTATAAATTGTTAATGAGGATTACTTGAATGTATTAATAATAAAGATATTTATACTTG